AAAAAAAAAAAAAAAAATTGGAAGCTATAATTCTGTGGTGTCTATTTTAGGAATAATTTATTTCACATTGATTTTTTTCTTTGTACCAGGAAGTTTAATGCTTCAGTAAATGAATCTTCCAGTTGTGAGAGAAAAATAACGTTACAGATGTATTATTTGTATAAGAAAGTGTTTAGGCAGTTTTAGGACTTTTCCAAACTTAAGAAGGCTTCCATATGGGTTTTAAAAACTCAGGTATGCATTCTTTCGTATTAAAGGATTGCACATTATTCTAGCACAGTATTTTGAATAAAGTAGATACTTAAAAAATCCTTATAGAATAAATGAATCAGCTTATACATGATAATGAGCTGATTTAAATCAGCCAGGTTTATTAACAAAAAACTACTAGTAGCCATCTCAAACCTCTTCAAAGTTCTGTTTGTGGCCAGTAAGACTGTGCATTTTGCTTTACTTTCTTTTAGCTAATAATTAAAGGGGACAGTCTTTAGAATTTTTCTCTTTGTGTTATGCTATAAAAATGTTATCAGAATGGAAAAATAGAAAATTTATCTTATTTTTCAGGTCGTGTACAACATCCCTAAGGCAAATCAGTAAAATTATTGATCAACTTAGTCCTCAAGCTGCCACCAACAGAGACATCAACAGGAAACTAGATTCTGTAAAACGACAGAAATATAATAAGGTGATTCAAAATGACGTATAAGTCTTGCATTTTTCTAAAAGTCATCGTTTAGTTTCATTTAATAATTTAGGAAATATTGTAATGTACTTGTAAGATGTGAAGCACAGATTTATAATAGAGAAATTTTGAGTTGCTTTTGTATGTTTAATTTCTCAGCTGTTTCCCTTTAATGTCTTCTGTTATACAGCATTTTTAACAACACACAGGTACATAGACACACATAGCCGTCCATCCGTTCGCTGCTGCATGCATCCATACATAGATGCTTCTCAACTTAAACAGTGGTGCTACATCCTGAAATGTATGTACAGACATCCTAAGTTGAAAATACTCTAAGTCAAAAGTACATTTAATACCCTGATTTTCCCATTTTAAAGTCAAAAAGTCTTAAGTCAAGGGCCAGGGGTCCTCAAACTTTTTAAACAGGGGCCAGTTCACTGTCCCTCAGAACATTGGAGGGCTGGACTGCGGGCCCCGGGATGAGTCGGCTGCTAAGCAGGACAGGCAGCAGCAGCAAAAATACCTGGTGGGCCGGATAAATGTCCTTGGCGGGCAGCATGTGGCCCATGGGCTGTAGTTTGAGGATGCCTGAGTCAAGCCATCATTAAGTCCAGAGGCTCTTTAGCATACTACAGGGTTATGTCCTGACAGACCCATAATAAAGTTGAAAAGTCACAAGTCGAACCATTGTAAGGTGGGGACTGTCTGTATTTTTGAGAATAAGTTATTTTTTGGCACTGCTTACCTCCTCACTTGTGTACTCCCTGTTCATCCTTGCTTCACCATTTCTTTCACCTAGCTCCTTCCTCTTGGGCACTCTGGCCTCTGACTCAGTCTTCTGGTCATGTACAAACTCATTTCTGCTCAGCCCTTGCTCTTGTTGTCTCCACTCTCTTCCCTGCTGATGCACCCATCACCTCTCACACACTCCTGCTCACTGTCCCGAGAGGCTGGCCCTTCCTCCCCACTTGGGTATTATAGTCAACACTTAGCTATACTGGGGCTATGCTTAGGGTTGGAGAACGTAAAGGTAGGGAATATCTGTTACTTAGGAAGTTACTTTTATGAGGTTTGTTTGGAATTGTTTAAAAGGATTTTTGTATAGCTTCATGAGGTTGAAACTTTTTTTTTTTTTTTGAGACAGAGTCTCACTTTGTTACCCTTGGTAGAGTGCCCTGGCATCATAGCTGACAGCAACCTCAAACTCTTGGGCTCAAGCGATTCTCTTCCCTCACCCTCCCAAGTAGCTGGGATTAAAGGTGCCTGCCACAACGGCCAGCTATTTTTTTTAGAGCTAGGGCCTCGTTCTTGCTCAGGCTGGTCTCAAACTCCTGAGCTCAAGCAGTCCACCCACCTTGGCCTCCCAGAGTGTTGAGATTACAGGTGTGAACCACCAGTGCCCAGCCTTGAAACATATTTTAGGATTTATATACCTCTTTATTAAAAAAGAGGAATGACTAGTTTTGATTGTTTCAGTTCTGCCATCCAAAATGACTGACAGGTGTCCTGGTGCTTATGATTGATTTGTTGCAGTGAGTGGATCTTTTCTTTTCTTGATCTTTTCTTTAAGCTCTCTTGGGTTTTGTGTGTAGACTCAGTTCATGTGGTACTCTTTCCACTTACCTTTTTTTTTTTGAGATCCAGAGTCTTAAGCTGGCACCCTGGGTAGAGTGCTGTGGCGTCATAGCTCACTGCAACCTCTAACTCTTGGGCTGAAGTGATCCTCTTGCCTCAGTTTTTCTGTTTTTAGTAGATGGTCTTGCTTTTTGCTCAGGCTGGTTTTGAACTTGTGAGCTCAAGCAATCCATCCACCTTGGCCTCCTAGAGTTCTAGAGTTACAGGCATGAGCCACTGCCCCGGCCTCTACCCTCAGTTATCTTCTCTTACTCACTTCTGAAATTAGCAGCCCAAAGGTCAGAGCAAGGAGTAGCTTAAGGCAGCAGAGTCCCTCCCCATCAAAGAGGGGACATTTGACCTTTTGTGGAACTGTGTGAAATTGATGTGAAGAGACCTTTTTTGACCTTGGGCTACTGGTAGGCTGGGATTTCAAGGGCCAAACTTCATAGGCCTCTTAATTATATATTCCTATCTTTATTTAGTAGCTCCTTGATGTTTAGAAATAGACTATGCAGAGAGAAAGTGTTTTAAACAGAATTTCATTGAGAGAAAGATTGAGAATAAAACTTAATTGCAAGTCACTACAGTGTGGTGTTTATGTCCAGGATTTCCTCTCACCTCATGCTCACATTTGGAGTTGAAATATTCCTGACCTTGGGGAGATGAACCAGGAGCCATAAGCCCAGTAAATTAGGAAAACCCTAGGAGAGCCAGGTGTCTAAGTTCTGGTCATGTCGAAGGTAATGGGAGAAAGAGGAGTCTAGGGCGGGCAGAGTAAAGAGGCATAGCAAAATATACTTTTCTTGTGCAGTTTTGTGATGGTAGAATACTATAAAGGACCATCATAAATATGGGAGGTTCTCAAATGGCACTGACTTTTCAACCAAACATTTGTGTTTTTTTTTACCCCTACCATGTGTTTGCCTCCATTAGCCCATTGGCTGCTAAAATCAGAGGCAGTTTAGTGATTTACCTAGTGTGTGACGGGGAACACCAAGTAGAACAGTTCTGCCTCCTGAGTCACTACATGTGTACTTAAGTGCTTGGGCACATACAAAGCTGTCTGCTGCCCAGGCAGAACATATGGGGTAGGGCTGTCTGCCTGCTGCGAGTGCCTGAGGCACATTGTGGTGGTTGCTCAAAGAAGGTTCTCTCTAGTAATAGCAAGAATTTCTGGGGTATCTTTATTTTACTTTTGACCAAAATTTAAAAATTTTATAATGCTTTTATATTTATCACTTCATTGCTGTTTTCCGTATTCAATATTTACCATTAAAGGAACAACAACTAAAAAAGATTGCTGCAAAACAAAAACGTCTCCAGGCCATCCTCGGAGGAGCAGAGGTAAAAATTGAATTAGATCGTGCCAGTCTGGAGGAGGAAGAGGATGCAGGTGAGGATGCCATGAGCAGTTTCTCTGTGTTCTTGGATTGGTGCCTGATGCCTGTGGTCAGTAGGGGGTTTCTGTTTAACTTTTGTCTGGATTTTGAGAAATATCCATTTTTTTGCCTTAGTGTGAAAACAGATTCAGGAAAATTTTATATCCTATACCCACAAAACCAAATTCTTCTCTATAAAGAGAATGAAAGTAAATTTTTAATCCAGTTGATTGGAGGCTGCTGGTGCACATTTATTATTACATTTAATAAAGTGGAAAACTTAAACATTCTTACATACTTAATTTGATAAAGATAACTAACATCATGATTGAATTACATGTTGGAAGCTCAGCATCATCAATCTATATTCATAGAATTGCTCTCACATGTCTTTAAGGAGTGTATTTGGCAGGCTTTCCAAGCATCAATTCTGTTGTTTAAGAAAAGACATCTTCATTCAGGTTATACTGTGGCCATGATTTCATTTATATTATTGTCTGGGATGATTGTCTTTTGGAAAACCTTTTGGGAAAATGCATAAGCTCTAGAACTAAAGAGCTTTGCAGTCATTCTCTGTGTGTATGTGTGCATGCACATGTGTGTTTAGAAATTGTTGGTAGGTGCTCAGTCATTTACTACTTGAAGTACAGATTAAGGCTTCTTAATTTTTAAGCTTTACCAACAAATACTTTCTTTCTTTTTTGAGACAGTCTTATTTTGTCACCCTCAGTAAAGTGCTATGGAGTCACAGCTCACAGCAGTGTCAGACTCTTGGGCTCAAATGATTTTCTTGTCTGAGCCTCCTGAGTAGCTGGGGACTACAGGTGCCCACCGCAACACCCAGCTATTTTTAGAGAGGGGGATCTCATTCTTGCTCAGGCTGGTCTTGAACCTGTGAGCTCAGGAAAATCCACCCGCCTTGGCCTCCTGGAGTGCTAGGATTACAGGTGTGAGCCACTGCACCCCGCCCCCAACAAATATTTTTTACTAGCTCTAGAACTTTACTCAGTAAAACAAGAGAATTATTAAGAAGAATTTATTGAGAATAGAAAAAATATTACAGAATTATGTGCTTTTAAAGTTCAGTCTCTCAGAATTCATTAGCCCTATGACCAGTACTTAACAGATCTTTGTTCCTGGCTGGCTATTGCAAACCTGCTGCTGTCTTTTAACTCTTTTTTTTTTTTTTTTTTTTGTCTTTTTTTTTTTTTATTGAACGGTAACTATGTACATTAAGTCTTTTAACTCTTGTTGCTACATTGGTAAAACTTTGCCCAGAGTTAATAGTTCACCTCCTCAAATCCAAAAGCCCCATCTCACTCCTGCTCCATTTGGCCTGTCTGCAGCAGCTGATGCTTTCTCTGCTTTTTGGGGTCACTGTCTATCTCCTGGTTTTCCTTTCTCCTTTTGACTACTTCTGTTTAGTTAGTTCTGCTAGCTTTCCTGGCCTTCTCTTAAATGCTGATGTTTCTCAGGATTTCTTGCTGAGCCCTCTTCTTTTTCTACTGCGCACCCTTGAATAATCTTACCCACTTGTGAATGGCTTTTGCAGCTACCTAGGTTCTAGTATGTAACAAATCTATATGCCTCTGGCTTTGCCCTTTTTTGAGCTTCTGGTTATTACTGCATCTCTACATCTCTCCAGGCAACACTTAAGACTCTTACTGCCCTTTGTCCTCTGTCAGTCTGGGGAGGTCATAGAGCAGAGTGCCTGAGAGCTCAGGCTTTGTGGGCCCAGTCTGCATTGCCTAGGTAAGGACCTTGGCTATGTTCTCTACCTTTCTTTTAGAGCCCGAGCAATGGGCCTAAGTGTGGTAGCCTCCACTTCTTTCTTGCTTTCCCCTAGTCTCTTATGTGGTAATCCATTTCATAAGGTGGTGATGAGAATTACCTAACAGAATCCTTCCCTGGAAGTAGGGGGGGTGAGGACAAATTACAAAGAAAATGAAACTTTTAGGCCGGGTATAGTGACTCACACCTGTAATCCTAGCGCTCTGGGAGGCTGAGGTGGGTGGATTGCCAGTCCTCACCGGTTCAAGACCAGCCTGAACGAGAGCGAGACCATGTCTCTAAAAATAGCTGGGTGTTGTGTCAGGCGCCTGTAGTCGCAGCTACTCAGGAGGCTGAGACAAGAGTTGCTTGAGCCCAAGAAATTGAGGGTGCTATGAGCCGTGGTGCCATGGCACTCTACCAAAGGTGATAGTGAGACTCTGTCTCAAAAAAAAAAGAAACTTTGGCTTCGCCACTGTGGTCTGGGAGGAGGTGAGGGTACTCGCTATCACCTTTCCTATTCAGCATTGTACTGGATAGTTAAGAAACTGATGAAAAGAAATTAAAAGCATAAAGATTGAAAAGGAGAAATAAAATCATCATTATTTACAGAATACATGATTATTTATTTAGAAAATCCAAAAGACTTAGTGAACAATCTGTTGGAATTACTATATGAATGTAGCAATATCATTGAATACAAGGTCAATATATAAAACTCAGTCATATTTCTCTATGCAAGGAAAAAATAAATATAATAGAGATATCTATTACAATGAAAATCAAATTCCTAGAAATAAATCTTAGCAAAAAACAGTTTTCTGCAGTGTTTTCCACATTAAGATCTTCCAAATGAGACTGAGTGTAGTGGTTCACGCCTGTAATCCTAACACTTGGGAGGCCGAGATGGGTGTATTAACTGAGCTCACAGGTTTGAGGTCAGCCTGAGCCAGAGAAAGACCTCATCTCTAAAAATAGCCGGGTATTGTGGCAAGCACCTGTAGACCTAGGTACTTGGGAGGCTGAGGCAAGAGGATTGCTTGAGCCCAAGAATTTGAGGTTGCTGTGAACTGTGACACCACAACACTCTACCAAGGGTGAGAAAGTGAGATAGAAGTAAATAAATAAATAAATACTAAAAAAATTTTTTTAAAAGATCTTCAAAATGTTACTGAAAAATTCAAGAACTTAATAAATGGGAGGTCAGGATCGTGGACTGGAAGATGCAGTATTATAAAGGGGTCAGTTCTATCCAGCCATAGTTCAGTGCAACCCTTACATATATTTCAGGGTTTTTTTTTTTTTTTTTTTTGAGGGGAAAAGCTATAAGATAGAAAGTATAGGGTGATGGGAGGGCATTAAAGATGTATTGGGCCAAGAATTGCTAAGGCAATAGTGAAGAAGAAGAAAGTGCCAAATACTTATTTTAAAATTTGGGCATTAAGACAGTGTGGTATTAGCACAAGAATAGACACATAGACCAATTGTTGGAATAAAAGGTCCAGCAAACAGACCCTCCTGGATATGTTACTTGATTCATTTCAAGAGTGGCAAGCATGGAAACTTGGGAGATTGCTTCCTCTTTCCTACTCCTCAGTCGATAAGGCAACAGTTAAATTTATTTATTTATAGAGTAGTTTACATAGTAATAGGTCTGTCTTTGGATGTATAGAGTATATTTATAGCATGATATTTTGGAGAAAAGTTACTGAGAAATCACCTTTTTGGACAGGAATCTATTAAACATGGTGTGATTAATGCTATAATAATTTTTACTCTGTCTTTTACATATAATATGCTTTAGTACATTGATGATGTAAGTTTTTTTATGAGTTACTTTTAGGTTCCTGTGACTTATTGAACAAGTGAATATTTCTAGGATACTCTTGGAAGGTTTTATGCTGGTTTTATGCTGGTGCAGTGTCCTTACTCTTTCAGAACCGGGGCCGTCCTGTCTTGGCAGCATGCTCATGCCTGTCCAGGAGACTGCCTGGGAAGAGCTCATCCGCACTGGCCAGATGACGCCTTTTGGTACCCAGATCCCTCAGAAGCAGGAGAAAAAACCTAGAAAAATAATGCTCAATGAAGCATCAGGCTTTGAAAAGTATTTGGCAGATCAAGCAAAACTGTCTTTTGAGAGGAAGAAACAAGCTTGTCATAAACGAGCAGCTAGAAAAACTCCAACCTCGGTTACCCCTCAGTCGAAACCAACACAAAATGAAAACAAACCAAACAAGAAAACCCAAGTTCTTTCAAAAACAGATAAGCGCTTGAAAAAGCACATCAAGAAACTCCAGAAGAGGGCTCTGCAGTGCCAGGGGAAAATGAGATTGCCAAAGCCAAAAAAACTGTGGGAGTCAGATGTGACACCCAAGGCAGAAGGAGACTCTGAGTCTGAGTACTTCCCCACGGAGGAGGAGGAGGAGCAGGAAGAGGAGGACGAGGCAGACTGGGCAGGGGCAGACCTGTCCAGAGACGACGCTGACTATGAACTGAGGCCTGTGGTCAAGAAAAGGAAACAGCAGAAGAAAGTGTCAGTGCAGGAGATTGATGATGACTTTTTCCCAAGTTCTGGGGAAGAATCTGAGGCCACAGTGGGAGAAGGAGGAGGTCGGAAAGTAGCGAGGTGTCGAGATGATGGAGATGAAGATTATTATAAGCAGCGGTTAAGGTCAGTCTGCAGGGATTGTAAACAGATTGCACAGCTTGCTTTATTTTAGGCAGCAGGCTTGTTAATACTTAAGCATTCTAGATCCAGCTTAATGTGTTAGACCCCCTTTGGGCAGAGGGGGAACTTGCCACAGCCTTAGCCTACTAGACCCAGCGAGGCCCCTGAGTCCTTAACTGAGTATTTGGCAGTATTTTGTCTAAAATGCTTGTACCTCTAGGCCTTTATTTGTATTTGTGGGCGCATATAAGATGAAAAGCGGAAGGGGGCTCGGCACCGATAGCTCAACCGGCTAAGGCGCCAGCCACATACACCTAAGGTGGCGGGTTCGAATCCCTGGCCCGGACCCGCCAAACAACAATGACGGCTGCAACCAAAAAAT